CATAAGCTCCATTTATCATGTCAGATATCAAAGGATCAGATGTCAAAATATCTATAATGCGATTAATGCTCGTGACCGTTAATTACAACGAATATGATTAATTGACGCGAATGAAAGCAGGAAGTTGCAAGAAATTGATTAAGATACGCGGAAGCGCAACGCATATGACATGTACGACGATGGAGATAACATAACCCATCGACTCGACAGTTTATTGGCAATCGTGTACGAGATAAGTGCAAAGCGTACCTTGAATGCAGTTTATGTGAAGCGAAAGTATTGCGAAGCTTGATAAAAGCAGACGCACCGTGTAATCCATCACGATCATTGCTATCGGCAGTAATTAACTAACACGGCAATCGAACGAGAACCGTCACCGGCGATAATACATAGGGGCGTTGAATACGTGTTGGCTTCCCATTGGTTGTCATCCACGTGTCCACGTCCCGACACCAGCGCGATGCTCGTCCTTCTGCTTTGTTTACCTTAGCTCGAGACGAGACAGTATATATTTATATTTGATAGAAGAGAAAAAAACAAGGAGTAAAAGGAAGCCTTCAACAATCTTAAATGTCTTTTCCGTATACTTTTTCAATATATATCTATATATATATATATATATATATATATATATATATATATATAGTATATATATAATATGACAAAGCTAATCTTTATGTATGTCTAAAAAAATCCTTTTAAAGAGTATATTTCAAGTATATATTTCAAAATATACATATGTACAAAATATACATATAAATATACCAAATTTCAGGTATGCACTCAAACATCAGAAACCTGCTTTGTGGAGGGCATAGAGCTTTCGAAACCCAGAGCTCCCGTGAATGTGAAATTCCACACCCAGAATTCGGGATATTTAAAAAAAGAATATTTTAATTTTCCTTGTGACATCAAAATAATAATATATCTAAAAATATAACGGAAAATTCCTTTGTGATACCATAAAATATACTATAATACGCCTAAGAATAGTATAAGAGCTAGTTTCTCCGTGATATTGAGATAAAAATAAAAGATAAAGATTTAGATCTGTAAAAAATATGAAAAAATTTAAATATAAGAAAATATATGTAGAAAATATATTTTGCACATATAACAAAAGAAATAAGAAATATCTGTTGTGAGAATCTGTACGCAGAACTTGGTAGTAGCGGATGGAAAAATTTTGTATGGACATGTTACTATGTAAAGATAAAAATTATTTTACGTACTAAATTCTGCGTATTAGATTTATGCCTTATTTAATATTTCCTGTTTTAAATTGAAAAGCTTTATATGATATTTTTATATGTTAATTTTAAAATATCTGTTAGTGAAACTACTTCCCCCTCCTCCCGCCTACATTAATTATTATACACCTAGAAAAGTAAAAATCTTCACTAAAACCAGGTATATAAATTATTACAATCATATAATTAGTTTAATATATAAATTAACTCATATAAAACATTTAAAATTTATTTAAATTTTCTTTAAGAATATGGAACAAAAATGTTTGAAAAATTTAGTAATTTATTTAAAAGACAAACTTATCGATACCTTTAAAGCCTGAATAAGACAAAATTATCGAAATATATGTGTGTATTTATTATAATTAATTGATAACATTCAGTAAATCATTTTAAATGCATAAAATGTATTTAGCATGAGAATTTGAAAATTATTTGCGTTTTTACGAACAATAGTATACGTAATTGTTACAACAATTTTTTGTTACAAGTCTGATTCACTCACAAAATATTTTATTAATTAATTATTGAAACTGTTAACTGTACCGAGATCTCCAGACTTATTGTTAATAAGAAAGAAATAATTCCTCTAAATTATTTCTTTATACATCCACGACAGTGACATTATAAAATACCAAAAACTTAATCAAAAACAATAAAAATCTAATAAATTATCAATTAAAAATTTGCAAACATCAAAGGCAAACATAAAGGCTGTGTTCCAAAATTCACTGCCAGCACTAAAAATCTATAGTTTACGTTACGTGCACTATAGATTTTCAGCACTGGCAGTAAATTTTGGAACACTGCCATGTTTAGAAAAAGAAATGATAAGCAATTCTCGAACATTTAATTAATATAATTCGTACAATAAATAAGGAATATAATTTTTTGTGTACTCTGTGTGTGTGTAAAGATATATGTTTTTAGATATAATTATTAATTATATACATTTAAAAAGGCATATTTTTTTTATAATGGCATTAGTATTTACTCTTGTGCGAATATAACGTTCAAAGGGAAAAAATTCAAAAAGACAAGAAGTACAAATTTTACAAATAACAGAATAATAAATTTTATAATCAATAACATTCTCGATAAATTTTCGATGTAAATATGCTATATGTATGTAACTATACGTATATATGTAGCTATATGTATCGAAATAAAAACAATTGTATCCCATGAGGCTTCAAAAATATCTACTAAATATTTGAGAAATGTCAGATATGGAAAAGAATGATTAATATACGTGTCTAACGTAAGAGGTGGGTGACATAATTCCAGCACGTGTACGCACAAATTCAGACGTAAGTACGTCGAGTAATGCGAACGCAAAAATGTTCTTTCTATCTCACGCACGAGCGACGCCGATAAGTCTCCCGCGAAGGTGAAAGGGAACTGCATGCATTAAAGCTTATAAGGAAGAGAACCGGTTCCCTCTCACGCGATTCGCAACGCGCCGTTCGTTGCAGCGAGAACGCACTCTCGTACCTCGTACGCCTTTTCAAAAAGAATTTGAAATCGTTTTAAAAGTGCGTCTCCTAAACGATGTCGCGGGGAAAAACAAGATTTGGTAAAAGGAATTTCGCAAGTGCTTTTTGCTTTTGACTATTGCTTTCAAATAAAATTGCTAGTTAAAATCAGTAACCCTCTCCTCCCTATAATTTCAGATATCGCATAAATGTAACAATATAAATACACACACGTAATAAATTTGACGTTAAAGTCGGAGCGATGAACAAAACGGAGAGAACGGGTCGTAATGAGTCCCGAAAAATACGTGTAAGCTGTGTGATATTTTACATACCAATCGATTCCTATAGTTCAGGGGAGCATCGTGACCGATGTTCCTGCGGAACTGCTTGACAGTCCTCGGCGGTGCTGTGGTACGCATCTTCTACTTTTTTCAATTCAATCTCTTCTTCGATTCACCACATCACACGTACGCGACGCACAACGAGTTGCTAATTGGTTTTATATTATTAATAGCCACACGATCGCACTTTGTCGATGTGAAAAAAGAAATAACGATTAGAATCAAACACGGAAATCCTATATAAAGAGTATCGTAAGGCTGCGTTCCGTTTCAGGCATGATGCGCATGATTTATCCTTTTATCTTTGTTTAACATGTAGTAAACAACAAAGATACCATGATATATCATGCGCATCATGCGTGAAACGGAACGCAGCCTAAATCTC